CCCTGTATTGTATTCCATATACTATGTAGGGATAAGTTAAATAAGCTGTCATAATGTTAGACGTATGGGAGTTATTTCGGCTCGCTAAACATAATTAATATTCTCATCTCTTTATCTCTTTACATATAGGAGAGAAACGGTTGAACGCGTAGTTGATGGCAAGGCGTAGATCATGTATAATATTTAACTCTATATAGAGTGTGAGGGGACCAGTGGGGATCGAAGGACTTGGAATCTACGATACTTTCAGAAAGAAGGATAGAAATTCATGTGATGTAAATACAAAATAACAAGCAACCAATGTGAGCTCTGGCGCATCAATGTGCTAGAACATTGCTAATAGGAACGTGCTCATTGAGCATTCGAACTATTCCCCGATAATAGCAAGACTTCTAGATTGTTTACCAATCAGATAACGTACGTTAGAGATATCACGCACCTTGCTACTGGCCATGACGGACATCGGTTTCAGAATAGGTACTAGAGGTATGCCACTGGTGGGGCCTGGGCTAGGTGAAAGTAGACTTATCGATATAACAGAGTGCTATAACCCATAACGACGATACGACCTCTTTTACATGAGTTAACTTCATATTTTGAATACTTTCTACGCGATAGCTGGCTGCGGCTGGATAGGATTTAGAGCTAATAAAGTTAACATAAGAAGATGTTCAAGATTGACGGTATGTCAAATCAAGATAGAATATACATTGTACTATGGGTACAGTAAGGCAGAAAGTCATGATGTGCGAATTATATGAGTATGAACTAATTGTCTATTTAGTGTCGCTCTGCTATATTATAATATATTATTATATTTTAATTTTTTTTTTTTTTTAGGGTTTGGGTTTATAGGTTAGGTAGTTATATATAGGTTATGAGTTTTTTTTTTTTAAGTAAAGTATTGCCTTAAGTAGTCAATTAATTATAATATCGGGCGATCCTGACTATTATTGGTGTGCATAAAATGAGAAAAGCTGTGTTGCGATGAGATCGTCGAATCTGTTTTTCATATAAGGCGGCAGCGTAGGTAGTTTGAAGATCACCAGCCAGCTGTTAGGAGGGCGATAATGCTGAAGATTGTGGCTGGAATTACAAATTAGAGGAGTTGTCTGGCCGCTTTATGACCTAAGGATTCGGTACGCGGGTGAGAGACAGTGGTTCAATAATGATTTGCTTTTTCATAATTAGCGCAGTTCTGATTGCAGGATTATCTAGCACTGAGCTTTTCTCATAGAGCTAATCTCGACAATATTTAAGATAAAAAATAAAACGTAAGATAGTAAAATATTTTGCCCTATGAGATTCAAACCTTGTCCATCTTCTTACTGCAAACCGGCGGGTGCTCACGCTTTTTCAAACCCCAACTCCCCGTTCTCTCTTTCTGTGCACTGCTAAGTGTACGTAATTTTTCGTTGGCGTTTTGTCATAAATGCGATAAAACTATTTCCAAACTAATATAGAAATGGTTCGTCATTCACTGCAATCGAGAGAACCAGCACTATCTGGCTATAAGGGTTATAATAGGAGACTTCAAGAGTAACATGCCTGGAGATGAAGCATTTTGGAGTTATGAATTATGATTAGAGGGCATGCACGTATTTTTTCAGTCTATATTATTGACGTTGACGCGATATTAATTTAAAAAAATATAAATTAAACAATGTACCGTTAACAGGATTCGAACCTTTATTAGGTGGTTGGTAAACACAGAGAGATGTCAGGTTCAAATCTCAGTGGGGGTATATTATTTTGTTGTAATTTTCCATTTAATAATGAGATTCCTGATGTCATTGTGTTTGTATATATCTATCAGCGTAGATGGAAATACAGCAGTGAAATACCGAATTTCACATTAAAAACTAATTGGAACGTCAAAATAAGAAAACGAGCCCTCTAAATAACTACTTTCCAAATGCTCTGCATGTACAGCAACACTATAGCCAGTTTGTTTTTTGGTGGATTTCTATTTATTGAAATATTTTCGACAAACGCCACTAAAATTCTACACGAGCAGAAGAAACGGAGGTTGAAAGCTGAGCACCGGTTTGTGCTGCTACGTAGTGAGAAAATCTAGAACTACGAGTAGAAATGGCATATTGCCCCGGCGGTTTTTATTCTAATCGGACAACTCTTTTGATTTCCAAATTCTTCTATTATCGACTCTGCGCTGGTGTTTTGATACCTAGCGTTTAATAAAACGTGCGATCTCATTCAATAGTTTGTTCTTCATTTATGAAGACCATATAGACTATATATATATATATATATATATATTATATTATAGACTATATATATATATATATATATCAAGCGTACATAATAGAGATTTCTATTATGAGCTCTTGATATATATATATATTTATTTATTTATTTATTTATTTATTTAATTATTTATTTATTTATTTAATCTCACTGCAGGGTTTCTCTGGGGCGATAGCAATTGACATACTCACCCACCAGCATACTGGTCTAGACTATTTCTGAAAATGTTTTTAGCAGAACAAAATAATATACCCCCACTGAGATTTGAACCTGACATCTCTCTGTGTTTACCAACCACCTAATAAAGGTTCGAATCCTGTTAACGGTACATTGTTTAATTTATATTTTTTTAAATTAATATCGTAATTACTAATGTTTTAAATCATCCAGATTTTATTCTGTTACTTAGATAGCTCGAAATGACATTAGGGACATTATGAATTAAATCAAAGGGGGGTTGGTGAAGGCAGAGAGATGACAGGTTTGAATCTCATAGGGCAATATATTATATTTTACGTTTTATTTTTTATTTAATATTGTAATTCCTATTGTATCGCATAACTGTAAAAGCCATTTCTACTTTCTACCGCTACCAACCGGAAGTTGATCAATTAACAGCACGCGCGCAACCAGCTGGCACAACTACGAGTAGAAATGACATCTTGCACCGCCTTCTGAACTCTGGACTTGCACTGCCATCTATCGGTAGAAAGTATTTCAAAATATGAAGAACATGAAGGATCTATCGGTAGAAAGTATTTCAAAATATGAAGAACATGAAGGTCTATCTTGTTATGGGGGTTATGAGCCTGTTATGTAGGACTTTGCTAGGGCAGTGGCGGCGTATGGAGGAAGGGTGGGGGTGTGATGGTTTGGGTGGCTACCCACCTAATTCTGTTGCAGTGGAAACGTTGTCAAAAATGCATCGCTAAGCATGAAAATGGCATCACGCGGACCGCGGACGCGGACCATACCGACACGACTGTATGCTTAAGGTTTACTGGTCTTGCGTTTATTTTATAACACGGCATATGATAAAATTATAAATACAAAATACTGTTAACCTAACAATATACCGTTAGCTGTGTTAATTGTTAATTACATCTCAATCCACCCCGAGTTGTTGTGACTAAAAATTAAGACTGCAGGTGTATTCGAATCGGCACAAATGCATACATTCTAGATTTTCATAATTTTTTTTATAGGATACCCACACACTTCCCTTTCACGCTTTCTTAGGCACATCTTAGGCGCGCTTAAACTGCCATACATCTTGAAACCGTTACACTAAGGATGTCAGCACATTTCATATTTGCGCGACATTTTTATGACAGCTTCACCAAATGTTTTACAATGATAAACTGCTAAGTGTTTATTTGTTGTGATCTATCTATCTATCTATCTATCTATCTATCTATCTATCTATCTATCTATCTATCT